CACGAACGCCGTATGTTCAAACGCAGCTGGAAGTTTCACATGTGCTTGCAATACTGGATATACCGGTGATGGCTTAACTTGTGCTGATATTGACGAATGTGTGGATCCAAGCACTTGTGACACGAACGCCGTATGTTCAAACGCAGCTGGAAGTTTTACATGTGCTTGCAATACTGGATATACCGGTGATGGTTTAACATGTGCTGACATTGACGAATGTGTTGATCCAAGCACTTGTGACATGAACGCCGTATGTTCAAACGCAGCTGGAAGTTTCATATGTGCTTGCAATACTGGATATACTGGTGATGGTTTAACATGTGCTGATATTGACGAATGTGTGGATCCAAGCACTTGTGACACGAACGCCGTATGTTCAAACGCAGCTGGAAGTTTTACATGTGCTTGCAATACTGGATATACTGGTGATGGCTTAACTTGTACTGATATTGACGAATGTGTGGATCCAAGCACTTGTGACACGAACGCCGTATGTTCAAACGCAGCTGGAAGTTTCACGTGTGCTTGCAATACTGGATATACCGGCGATGGTTTAACATGTGCTGATATTGACGAATGTGTGGATCCAAGCACTTGTGACACGAACGCCGTATGTTCAAACGCAGCTGGAAGTTTCACATGTGCTTGCAATACTGGATATACGGGTGATGGTTTAACTTGTGCTGATATTGACGAATGTGTGGATCCAAGCACTTGTGATACGAACGCCGTATGTTCAAACGCAGCTGGAAGTTTTACATGTGCTTGCAATACTGGATATACCAGTGATGGTTTAACATGCGCTGATATTGACGAATGTGTGGATCCAAGCACTTGTGATACGAACGCCGTATGTTCAAACGCAGCTGGAAGTTTTACGTGTGTTTGCAATACTGGATATACCAGTGATGGTTTAACATGTGCTGATATTGACGAATGTGTGGATCCAAACACTTGTGACACGAACGCCGTATGTTCAAACGCAGCTGGAAGTTTCACGTGTGCTTGCAATACTGGATATACGGGTGATGGTTTAAGTTGTACTGACATTGACGAATGTGTGGATCCAAACACTTGTGACACGAACGCCGTATGTTCAAACGCAGCTGGAAGTTTCACGTGTGCTTGCAATACTGGATATACGGGTGATGGTTTAAGTTGTACTGACATTGACGAATGTGTGGATCCAAGCACTTGTGACACAAACGCCGTATGTTTAAACGCAGCTGGAAGTTTTACGTGTGCTTGCAATACTGGATATACGGGTGATGGTTTAAGTTGTGCTGATATTGACGAATGTGTGGATCCAAGCACTTGTGACACAAACGCCGTATGTTCAAACGCAGCTGGAAGTTTTACGTGTGCTTGCAATACTGGATATACGGGTGATGGTTTAAGTTGTGCTGATATTGACGAATGTGTGGATCCAAGCACTTGTGACACAAACGCCGTATGTTCAAACGCAGCTGGAAGTTTTACGTGTGCTTGCAATACTGGATATACCGGTGATGGTATAAATTGTGCTGATATCGATGAATGCCTAATAAGAACTGACAATTGTCATGCAAATGCGACATGCACGAATGTCTTGGGATCATTTCAATGTAGCTGCAATGTTGGTTTATTTGGCGACGGTGTTGTTTCCTGTTCTGGTAAGGCAGGATTGACTAATATTATTAAACGACTAACCCAGCCTAGCTAAGCAAAAAACTCTTAGTAAAGAAGAATGTATTCCAATTGATTTCCTATATATCATAAGGCAGATGTACCAAACTTGGTCAGAGGTCAAGGTCAGGGTCAATTGTCAAAACTTTCAAGATTTTCGAAATTTTAAAATGAATACCCACATGTAACGTTTACTTGATTTGATTTCGAAATGCTTTTTGTAGCCTAACACTTGTGTCTTCAAAACATATTAAAAACATTAATATTTCTTTTTCAACAGCAACAACAATAGTGACACATCCCAAGAGATCCATACAAGAAACAAGGGCTGTTTCGGGAGAAAGACTTGTCAATCATGCTCTTTACTCTCTATCAACGAAATCTCGTATTTTCTGCTCGTCATTCTGTCTTAACAATAGCAACTGCGTCGCCTTTAATTTCAGTAAACTTTTGAAATTTGACAACTGTGAACTACTGCACACAAAGCGACAAGAGGCGTCCAGTGGCAGTATCATTTTAGACCAAAATTGGAACTACCACGATATCATCCTGCGGAATTAGATGAAGTTGGTAGCATATTAGTTGCATTTACAGGAAATGCAACGGCCTAATTGTTTAATTAATTAAACAATCACAAATCATTGCTGTGGAATTAGTATCATGGCGTAAGGTTAATCGTAGTATTACAAGTTGTATCTGTAGTTATCTATGACAACGCACAAGACATAGTATTGCTAGTTACAACGCTGCAGACAAAATAACGAAGTCAAAGAATGTCAAGGGGTCAAGGTGAAATTGCGTGCATCCGTGCAACAAAACCCCTAAGAATTTTATTCGTCAGCTGACTATCTCAGTTTGCAATTTCAATAGCTTATCACACTCTAGACAGGGCTAACCCGCCCCTAGTGACTTTGACTATCGGAGTTTTAGTACACCAGGGCCGAGGTTTGACATGTATTATTCGGCAAAGTTGATGAAAAATATTTTTAACGTAACACCATTTGCTACTATCTTAGACTGTGTAATCCCTGATGATTACATGCGATATCTTTGTCACAATTGAATCGTATTACCCTGCGTGCAGAGTCTAGTTAAACTACAAACGAAGCTCTCTTTTAAGAAGTGAAATCAAACGAATGCAAAGGGTAGAATCGGATATGATGAATTGTTAAAGGATGTATATCACTATCAACTATCAGCTCGTACGAGATTTTCGCGAGATAACAGCGCAGGGGCGGATCTGGGAACCAACAAGGGGGGGGGGGCAAAGTTTAGGTCAGAGAAAAAAACGTTTGGGCCCCTAAAAGGCAAAAGTGGGCCCAAATTTTGAGGCCCATTTTCTTCAAAATTTGGCCTGAATTTTAAAAATAAGGCCTTAAAAGGCTTTTTGGGGCCTTAAGGCCTTTTTTGGCCCCCCATTATCCGCCAGTGCAGCGTATAGCTTGGAAAAGTAATTAACCGGGTAGTTCTGTTTCATGTTTTGTTCAGTGAATAAGTTACAACGTTTTCCGATCGCTTCGTGAAATCAATACAAATTATAATATTATTTCGATTCATCCCAGGAAATCCAGTACCATTTTGAAGCCAAGCAGCGTCACCTCGTAATGGTGCAAGAATTTCTTAGATTAAGGCAAGGAACTCCGAGAAAAGCGAAAACTCAAGATTTTGAGTTTTTTGCGTTCTCAACTTTTAGAAAATTAATATGATGATGGCACCAGATGCACCTCTTGGGCAGTGACAAATCTCAGATCAATAAATAAAACCCCAGAGGTGCAAGAATGCACCTTATCACACTCGAAATAAATCATCACAATATTAGGAATTACAGACCCCCGAAATATCCGTAATAGGAAACATTTGTTTACTGTTTATATGATGCACAGTTGTAAATAGTATTATACATTGTACATAATGATTGTTTTAATAAAAATTCAGTGCAAAAAATCATCAGAAAGACACGGGCCTCTTAAAAATTATCGTTTTTTGCCAAGGGACCCCCGAATCGTCCTTGAAATCCCACCCGACCAGACAGATGGAGAGGCCGCATGTGGAAGCCAAACTGTTCTCGCTTTACCCAAGTGTTTGGACTCTTGCCCGGTTCGTTTCTGATGGCTCAAGTACGGGGCATTTTGTTCTTTTTCTTGATACCTGGGGGGAAACAGTGGCGTAGCGTGGCAATTTTACTAGGGGACGCAAAATTCCAAAATTGGGATGGGGAGGGGGGGGGGGGGTTACCCGATACGCATTCATTTCCACTTGAAATTTACTCATAAGTACTCATTATAAGTATTGCAGAAATTCAAGCAAAAATTATTTTGAACATTTAAAAAATCTATTATCGTTGTAAAAATCTTACCTGAATAATTTACACTGAACAAAAAGATGTCTGCAGCAGACAGCACTGTTGATTACTCTTATTCAATGTCGTCCGATAAGATTTATGGATGAAAGGTACAGCCAAATCTTGCTTGAATATTATTATAGTATATAGATATTAGCGTAATTGATTAACTATCCTTAATCATTAAATTCAAAAGATACTTACGCCAAAACTGGAGCTGGATTCGGCACATGAGCAGCCATTGTGTACTTAATACGGGGAGGTCATATGGATTATATAAGAGTATTCACGAAATTATGAGAGTATAATTTGAAAGAATCATTAATGACATGTCGGGACTAAAATAAACACCTAATTTCTATGGTTGAACCCTGTTCAAAGATACGAAATGATAAGGTTGAACAATGGCTTTGCTTATTAAAACTTGAGAAATTTAGAATTTCCAAATATTCAGATAAACATTGGATTGTTCCAGTGGACGCATTTGCGTACTTTGCGTAAATGACGCTACGCCACTGGGAAATCTCATTAACTATTACGCAATGCACCACCTCCGCGGGCAATTCAAAAACGCAGTATTATCATAAACATCCTTAGAACCAATGACTGGACCGTAAGTATAATCAGCAACTGCATGTAAGTACGCCCCATTCATAGGTTTGGCAAACAAAGGTTCTTTATTCAATATAGCGTGTTAAAGCCCGTTATTGTTTATTTACTTTTCACTGAATTCAAAGATGCCATTAATTTAAGTCATTAGAGGTTTGATATGCTGGCAAATCTTACGAAACAAAGAGAATTAGGTATCAACGTTAGATATATTAATAGAAATTCCTCTTTTACACAAAACTGTTAATAAGCCTTATTTCTGCTAAATTTACCCTTCAGATCTTTTATGCCCGGGTCACATTTGCTCCGATGCATCGGCCGGCGCCCGGCCGATTGAGTGTTTTGTTCAATATTGTATTCAATTTTGAAAAAAATACTCAATCGGCCGGGCGCGAAAATCGGAGCAAATGTGACTAAGGCATTAGCAATGCATTTTTGAGTTGAGAAATACATACTAGGCTATATTAACGTGGGTATGGTAAATTACTCATTTCTATCTACGTCAGATTTGAAATTGTCAGGTCTGTTTTCATTTCTTATGTTAAATGTGACACATTCTATTTATTCAAAAGTCAACAAGAGGTCCAAAAGAACGATTTCTTGTGTCCTTATCTGTATAATTAAGTTCATAATCAAGAGCTGCATCTACATATTCATTCTCAGAAATCTTCCCATCCTTGTTTGTATCCATATAGTCAAACTGTAGCCTGGCCAGACTTTGATCCAGGTTCAAAGCCTTCCAGTAGTGCAGGAACTCAGAAAAACTGATAAAACCATCTGAATCAAAATCCAGTATCTGCAATGAATAGATTTTGAAATAGTGTATATTGGCTTTTACCCCTGTCTCATTGAGTCCTGAAAATGTCATTAATGGAGGTTTTCGTATATTTGTTGGGAAAATAAGCTGAACATTTTCCACAAGATTGAATCAAACGAAATAAGATGATTTCTGGTACATTTGCCTTTAACGGTTTCTTTGTCCTGAAAGTCTAATGAATGGAGGTTTTCAAATTTGTTTTCTCGCATTTGTAGGGAAAATAAGCTGAACATTTTGAAACCCAACTAATAAAAAGAAATATAGAATAATTCATTATATACATCCAACACGAAATAGTATTGTTCAATCTACAACAAGCTGTTCTAGGGAGTCTCACAAAATAGTTTAATGAGAATTTCAAATCATCAAATTGTATATATATATTTTTAAATTTTCAAGTAATTTATTAATGTATACCTGAAACCTTTTGACATGAAATTTTTCCAATGCCTCTTTAAACTTTGGACTTTTTACCGCTGACCAACAATCAAGAACTTGTTCTGTACATGATTTGATCCAATAATTTGGCAGTATCTGATCCATCCCAGAATGAAAATCTCTGAAGCATTGAATAACGTTACTCGCTGCAGGGTCTTTCAAATTAGCTGAAATGACAATACATTTCCAGATAAAATAGATATCTCACACAATATTCTGCAGAGAGACTAGTTTGTTAATCATACTGGTGTTACGAAAATAAGGATAAAAGGGACACGAGGATAGAGGACAATAGTTATTCCAAGCTGTATATGTTCACCAAGAATGTCAGCGCTCAGACGCATGCAAAATTTTAGAGAAACTGAATCCTTGACAATTTCTTATTTATGTTGCGCGCGATCTCTAATTTTCCATTGCATTGCAGCCATTTTCTGACTTTCAGAAGTTTCCACTAAACAGAGACATATAAAACAAAAAATATAAGATGTACTATAAAACTATTGTCAGAATCTCTTATAAGCTTGTAAATAGCACCCCACTTGTTATTTTGACTACAAAGTTAGTGATATTTCCCCACAAAACAAGATTTATTAAGACGAAACTGTCAACATCAGGTGGGGAGGGGGGGGGGATTTTCCAAAGATGAGTGTGTTGGTATTGACACGTTCGATTCCCAATTTTATAATCGGGCCTCACTTGCCATTGAAATTGATCTTATTTATAATGTTCGCTGTTGTTTTATGAGTATTCTCAAGTTTAGATCGAGTAACTTGTAAATAGTACTATTACCATAGACTATCAGTCTAGAATGGATGATGAAGAACTGATGTTAAACTGAAACAAGAGATCATTTAAAAAAATGATGGCTCGTGTGAAGGAGATGTTTGCAGTGTTGTAATGAATTGTATTGATAAATAGGGATATGAAAATACGAAAGAATTATGGGAGCTACTCACTTCTTCTGTGTCAACCTCTGAAATAATGTTATATTATTAAGTCTTTTGACCATTACAATTTTGACGTGCCATGTGAAAAGTTATTCTTGCGCCAAATCTAAAAGTTGTTGTTGCAAACTCACCGGTGATCCGCTGGATTACGTTGGTTACCGAAACGGTTCGTTTTGGTAACCAGCGGTTTGGGTTAAAAGAAAAGGAGGGAAAGCCCCAGAGTTTAAAAATGACAGACAAAATTACGTCGCTTTCTTACCACCTTCGTTCGTTCGAATTTTCATCGGCTATTTATCAAATATAATACACTTCGATGGGATGTTTTAATTGATAAAGACATATTCTGTACACTTCTCTTTATCTTGATGTGAAATGAGAAGCTATGATATTGGTTAACACGCCAGAAATGAAAATAATATTATTCGAAGCGTATTTCGAAAATTTTGAAACCGCCATTGATGACATCATTTGTTTGTCGAATTTCGACCAATCAAAGATGTACGTATGCTATGTATGTCATCTCAATACAGGTTTACATTGTAAGCGTATGTTATCTTTGATCGAAATCTGTTGTTATTCCCCCTCTGGGTTAAAAGTGCAGATATTAACTGTTTTTCGAAGAATCGTTTCTGTAACTTAAGTGAGGAATTAAATCGACGATTCTGTTGTCTTCTGAACTATTTGTTCACAAATATGTACATTTTCTTAAACATATGATACTGAAACAAGTGGCTCAAATTCATTTAAATTCAACTTTCATTTCTATTTAATTTCAACAATTATTATACTGCCATCTTTTGATAGATATTAAAACTAAGTTAACTTTTACTTGGCATGCAGCTGGTCACTAACTCTGTCTTCTGATTGGTCAGTGGTTTAGCCACTCAGGTTTGAGATCAATGGGTAGAAGACAGAGGGTAGTGCTAGCTTTGGTCAGTTTTAGCTTCGTCTTTGCAAGAGAGAACATCTATTGTTTTTACTACTTTGTGACTTTGTACATATTTACATTTATACAGGATAAAGAATTATTTTATAAACTTAAACTGATGTGTTTGTGATTGATAGATAGAAAAGAGTAAACCAGTGAGGGTTTTACATAAAAAAGCACGTCTTTATTGAGACTATTAAAAATTAACGCTACCACAGAACGTTTGTGTTAAAAAATATCGTGGGAATTCTGCCTACAACGTGTGAGATAAGGAAAAAAGAAAAATCGTCCTTTGATGTTCCGACATTTTGTTACCGAAACGGTACCAGCGTAATCGTAAACTATACTACGAAGGCAGTACTAAAGTAGAAATATACATGAGTTTCACATTTGCATGCATTTCAATAACGAAAAAAAATTTAATCGATTGAATTTCAAAGAGAATAATTCTAGAGGAAAGTTTTTCAACTGCTGGTGTTACCCTCCGCAAAATTGATGAAAATAGCCATAAATCATGCAACAATATACCAATACGCGATAACGCTTAATTTAGTTCAGTTTAGCAACCTCCCGTTAGAAGAGCTCTCATGTATGGTACAACTTCGTCTACATCCGGGTTCTTTCCCATTGGATTATACAGGGGTGCTATTTTCAATGCCGCACTGCGACTCTATTAAACATTTATGTAGAGTTTCATTTGTACAAACGATAGGTATGTATGTAATTAAGATATATGACAAAGCTTTTTGAACTATAATCCCTAAATCCGAAGAAATCTGTAGTTGAAAATGTCGTCCAAGTCCAGTGACGTCACTGATATCCCAGAAATTGCTCAGATGCAATCGAAGATCGAAAAATATAAATAATGTTACTTTGAAACTCCGATTTTCTTTCTGATTATTGAATAGTTTGGATCATATAACTATGCTTGAGGGCTGACGGAAGATCAGAAGCTGAGAAACGTTCAGAGTAATCGACTCGTTTGACAGGCCAATGAAAATTTGTCCCTTCCAAAGCGATGCATCATGGGAGATATTTATGTTAATTACCACCTGAACTCTTATCGCGAATAGGAGTATTAGCTCAATATAAGAGTGAATAACTCTTTTTGAGACCAGGTAGTCTAAGTGCTTAATTTGTAATTCAAAAATCGTATTTTGCGGCAAATTGTTTCCATCTGAGGCGTCATTTGGCCGGCAATCCTGTCAGGTGACGTAAAATCTCTGCTCTGAAAATAAAATCAGTTTTGCCGCGAAGTGTTGCATTAGTGGTTTACTTCAGTAAAGTGTGGGTTTCACACGGTAAGGTAGCATAGGTTTAGTACAACTTTGGGTTCTCTAGCTCCCCATCTTAAATACAATTATATTTATTCATCAAAATCTGCGCTCCTTTATTTGCATCACAGTCAAATAATTTGTTTATTTACAGATGTCTTTACAAAAGGTTTTTATCATAAATGATTCTGTAAACCCTATTGATTTTTCTACATCAAATTATTTTGTTACCAAAAATGCAAGCTGTGCATACGTACCTGATCTTATGATGCGGTCTGCTACTCTCATGCAGTCTTCATAAGAAACAATTCCATCTTTGTCAATATCATAAGCAAAAAGAATTGTTAACATCTTCCTAGCCCAGATGTGTGGAATGTCCTTCATCTAAAGAGAATTACGTTTGCACTGTTTTGAAATATTTGGGAGAAATATTTTTCTCCTTTGTCTTTTGTGACCCTTAATTGAACGATAACGTATAAAGGTATATGAACAACAGTTGTAATTAGACACTTAATCAATCAGGTACTATGTATTGTACGTTTTCGAAAATATTGTGATATTTGGGGTATATGCAAAAATTACTGTTAAATCGTTACGTGTCAAACTGTCCCGCGCTAGAAATGTAAATGCTGTGAATCTTGGTGACCCATGATTAGGTGACCTGAGATCAAGGTCATCTCAAGGTCAAAGGTTAATATCTACACCCCCAATCCGCACTCTAAAATCGCAGTATCGTCCGGTACATTCAGAGTATGGAACCACACGTAGTGTTTGAGTATACTGCCGTACATTATTCACGTACCGTACCATACGGTATCGTTTTAGTCTACGGTACGTATACCGAACTGTACCATATTTCACAGTACCGTACAGTACCATTTGGAAAACGGTACCATATGGTACCGTTGCAGATTGGCTGTGTAAGTAATTGCACTCCATGGATGCTATGACACTTGGCGACTCATGATTAGGTCACCTGAGATAAAAGTCAATGTTTATTGGCCAAGGTCATCTCATGGTCAAAGGTGCATATCTGGATATTGGACAAGTTCACTTAGATACAAGAATCAGTCAAGGTCAAACGATCAATATACAGGTATTTAGCTTTTTTTTTTGGGGGGGGGGGGCTACTAGCATGCGGGGGCTGCTGCTCACTCGAAAGCTTAGATTGATATTCTCAATAATACACCTTATCTATTAATGCTAAATCCTGTATATTATAAACAATAAATGGTTGCATTGCGAGTCAAATGTTTTTGATAGATAAGCCAAACATACGTACACAAGTACTAAAACTTGAAATATTTAAGCCTTTACACTGAAAGCATACAAGCAACGTGGAGTTTTAATTAATGGATTATTCTAGCTCATCTAAATTCAAATTATCTTAATCAAGGAAGACAGATAGCTTACCAGGTGATTTTTGGAATCCATAGTCACAGTAATATATGTTGCAGTCTATCAGGTTTTACTTTTCTTGTAAATCATATATACGGTTGGGTGTATACGTGTAATTTATTAGATGATACGTACGACCTTTATAAAGATTAAACTGGCTACAGGATGGGAAGATAGATGACGTGATAGTATGGTATAAAGTATTGCGGAGTCATATTTGACAATTGCTCTATAAGAAGTGATAGCTTCTTATAGCCCAACCGGTTTCATTTTATTCTCGTTTTCCTATCCCCATAAGGGTTGAATGAATAACGTTGACAGGCAAGGCCAATAGAGGTACATTTTAAAGTAATAATTCATGCGGTGTACGTTACCCTTCTATTATCCTTCTATTATGCATTCTTAGCATTATCCTATTAATAATTGTTAAGATTTTATTTCAATACAGCACCCTTTTACACTTAATTTTAATAACATTGATATTCCAAACTGTAATTGTGGCTCTAGATCTCAATCTACAATGCACCTGTTATTACACTACCCTCTATTCATTCATCAACCTTACTTGTTTTTGGAGGAATTTAGGGAACTGCAATCCTTTGACGGGATAACTCCACAGATGGCGCTAGTGAAAAGGTAGAAGACAAAAAATCTAAATTTAAAATCAAGATGATGGTCGATTGAAATCAAGATTTATCAGTGCAATCACCAGTGAAAATGTGCAGATTTTATATTTTATTTTGTTTATCTTGTGTGTATATAAATTTACAAAAAGTATGACGAAATGATTCAGTTCACTTCAAATATTTGACTTTTTGTGACGGTGGTCTAGAGTTTGAAATTTATTGAAAATTGTTTAAAATTCGTATAGATGGCGGGAAAAGCGGTTATCTTTTTTTCAATGGGTGATCTATGCAATTTTTGTTTTGATTTGAAAGAGGACATATGGAGCTATCCCTTGGTATATGGGGTTATGTACCAAAAATCCTCGTTTTTTCATAATCGATCCAAAGATTTCAATATTTTCATATTGGATTACATTAGAGCATTTATCTTTGGAATTGTCCCTATTAGCAACATAAGAAATTACTAAAACTGCTATTATTTGGCTCGAAACCTCTCAGAATAAGAGATATGTGACGTGAAATGTTTATTGGACGATGGCCCATAAGGATCTGATCGGGAGAAACTAAAAAATAATGCTGAATCAGCATTTTTCATTTTTTACTTCAAAATTACGGGTTTTGACGATTTTTGGCACTGTTTTGGCATTAACCATCGGAAAGTTGCCTGAAATGTCATTGTTTGTAGGCCTGCGAACTGTCATATTTGTAAATACCAATGTAAATGAGCGTTTTTGTAACATTTGTAAGTCGGGTGAAATCGAAGATGAAAAGCATTTTATTTTTGATTGTAGTGCATATAGGAAAAAAGAAATGAGTTCTTTGAAAAATTGGAAATAGAGAGTCTGACTTTAAGTGACATTTTTAAAAGTAAAAGATACACTAAGATGTTTGATCAGTATTTAATTAACATAATGCAGATCAGGAAAGAATTTATTTTTAAACAATAACTAGCTATTTTAAAATGTTCAAATGTGTCTCATAAGCCCAGATAGGGCTGGTTGTATGATATGATACAAGTGACACTTTAATAAAATAAATAAATAAATACAATATTGAATATTTTTTGCCATATTTTGCTTGGTAAAGGATGTATTGTAACATTTTTAGATGTCAGAATTTCTCAGTCTAATTTTTCTGAGAGATGTCAACATATTTGAACGAAATAAATGGCTGAATTTGATTTTTTAAGGCTACAGTTTGGAATAATTTCACGAATGATCTAATTAGCCAAAAATTAATCTATAAGTTTGATTTGAGAAGAAGTTAAACGATAGAAAAAACCAGTGAAAACCGACTAATTTAGTCAGCTCTTGGCTAATTTTACCCAAAATCAGCCAAATTAATGTGTCATTGTCCAGTGATTTTTGCCAATAAAACACTGTGATCGATACAAATAAGTTTGCTCGACTCTTTGGAAGCTCAATTTTATAGATCCCAGTTAATGTAACCATTTAATGTAGTAATGTTGAATTCTCAAGAAAAGAATTTGGCCTAAATTCGAACCACCCCAAGGTTAGTTTAGTACCCATAAAATGCCCAATTGTCTGTAGATCATTCTTAAACTGCACAAACGATCTTGAAACTGTTCATTCTTTCATAAAAATATCATTTTCACCAAAAATAATCGAACCATGGCACTATAATTTAACTTTATTTGGTCAACTCAGACAGCAAGACAAGGTGAATGTAATGTTTTATGGCGAACCAAATATCATGTCTGACAAATCAGAAAATTATTGAAACGACTGTGCGTTTTCTCCAATTCATTGTTTCGACTTTGAGTGAGTAGTGTTTCTGTTCTGCATGTCTAGGTTGATCCATAAGTTTCTTTGCAATTTTATCTTTTACTTATATTGATAATTAATTTATATCGCAATAATGCATTGCCTTGCCTAAGCCCTCGCTGTGTTAGTTGAACTTTGATTATTTTGATAATAAAAACCTTTAACCCTAAATTCTATTAATAAAAATACTATACTTTAACAAAAACATACATTTTTAGGCATTTTAATCTAATAAATCACAAAATCGCTGATAAACAAATAACAAACAAGAATGAGTTTTGTTTGGCGATATTACATAATGTTACATAATATATTTCTAAGTACTAATTGAAACAAATGATTATACCATGTCAATATAATTAACAGCCTGAAAACCCGCCTTTTGATGTAAATAGACGATGGCATCCGTCATTCTTTGACACATTAAACTTCCAGTCCTAAGACCAAAAGGAACTCTCCTGTCAATATAAAGCTAGTAATGGAAAATCTAGGTCAACACAAATCTTCCTATACGCCCGTTTCAAGTCTTGCTTATACAATAGACAACCAGGTCCATGTTTCAAAACCAACGTTACTAAATCATCCACCCTGGGGTATGTTAAGTGGAAAGGTTCACCCCAAAACTCCCCTTTTACAATCCCATCATTAACTGAAACACCCCGGGGCCAAGTAAGGTCAAGAACTACCCTGCGGTCGTCAGAGTCTTTCTTCGGAACAGTCTGCAAGGGTGAAATAACAATGCTAGGACCTACGCTGCTAAAAGGGTCTGTCTGTAATGGTCCTATTAACGCTTGATATTTCTTTGTCTATATATCTCTGAACATGGTCAAAATAGAGTTCCGCGCTGATATGATTTTTGTAACAGCCATGTGGCCAACTCTCTCTGGAAAAACTAATCGGGAAACCGAATTCTAAAAAGTCCGGTAAATGAATATCAGAGTAATTAATCTATTCCCGACGCCAAAATGAGATGTTTAAAGAAGAGGGCACAGGGCATTTAGCACCGATATAATTAGGCTGGTTATATGACCATGTGTATTGTGATCCTGGTCATGTAAATGATATGTAATACTAGTTGAACTGTCTGGAGGTCAAAACAGAACTCTGTTTTCTTGGTTCAAAAAATATTCCAGTATGGTTTTGTCACTTTCTGTTTTGCCATTTCCTGTTTAGTACCATGACACCTTAAGAAAGAAGGCATTTAAAGTTATTTTTATGATGAGACAAAATTATTGTTTCAACTATCAATGTAGATATACATAAAAATCGTAACGTGTGTTAAACCTGTGTTATTATATGGAAGTGAATTTTGGTCAATGTTTCGCTTGAAAGTTGACAGAAAGATTATTCAAGGAGACCTCAAATTAAAGAGCTGTTATGCAGTCTTTATTCCTGAAAAATGCATAATAAATTTTGCAAATTTCTTGTAGGGGTTAATAAATATACTTCAAATTACTGTATGCTGTCAAAACCGATTTATGAAGATTTCTTTGAACTATAGATTCACTTATATGTTCTGTAAAATATTGGTTGACGTTTGTGCATCAAACAAACGCAGATAGTTTAATACATATATCATTTTGGGATAAAATAACATATTTGTCAAACATATGGAATGCATATTAAAGTAAATTTTAATATGTCAGAAGTAGAACTTAAGTCAATAATGTAAATGATAAAAAGGAGGGGGTCAAAGACGGACCCTTGAGATAATACACATGTTATATTTGCTTGGTTTGACTGATGGTTTTTATATTGTCGAAATTATTTCCTATCTATCAAGTTATAGTGTATTTATTGCATCAATATTCGTAACATTAATATCTTCGGTTTTTACCCCACGGAGTAAGTTAAACCGAGCATAAACAAAACCAGTTACAACAAATGGTACCTACTATCCCACATATAATTGACTGCCTTACACAACAAATAAGTAAAATGCTTCAAAACTGTATTCGACCCGATCAAATATAAATTTGATAAGTATTTTATATATGTGCGATGCCAAGTACCATTCGTATTGGGTAAACATATTCATTTGTGGTAAATATATTAATTTGTGGGGTAAGTCACGTGACTTACCGAATGCTTTTATATAAACCAATGTTCACTGTTTTGATGTGGGGCAAGTCACGTGACTTCGACCATGTGACTTGCGCCATCTATATATTCAAAGAGCTCTGGTGTGATTCTCCATTCGCGAAAATTAAGAAAGGACCGCTTGTAGCCTCGTGCCTGTTGTAATGATCTAATCCTCTCTGAATTGTGAATATGAATCGTATTCAAATTCTTTTTCCTCGCTTGTTTCATCCATTTTGAAATGATTTCTACGTTACTGGTCACGTGATTTACCGAATGGTTTTATGCTACATGCAGCTATCATATGCAGCATGTGTATGTCATTTATGTGTGGTAAGTCACGTGACTTACCCCACATAATTGTATGCGAAAGTACATGTCATTAATTATGTGGGGTAGGTTTCTATATGTCCGTGCTATTTTGTACTCCATGATTGTTCGGTAATTGAACATTGTTTGGTTCTAAAGTGTATTTGTATTTGATGCGTGTTCTAAATATATGTGTCAACCGTCTTTGTTCGTGTATGTACATGGACTTAAACATGTGATATTTTACCAAACACTGAATAACATAAACCGCATATACAGTGCATATAAAAAAAACGCAACAGATTGTTATCTTGGAAAAGCACAAAACTAGTGATAACAGCATTGATTTC